AACCCTGAGGATATTAGATTACCTACATGCCTTAATCACTCATCTACTGTTATAAAGAGACACTATCACCAAGGCAACTTATACAAAATATAGTATTGAATTGGGGGCTTGCTTATAGCTTCAAAGGGTTAGCTTATCGTCATCATGGGAGGGAGTATGGCAGCAAGTATGCAGTCATGGTGGTTGTGACGTAGCTGAAGACTATATCCTGATCCATGGGCAGCATGCCAGGGGGTGCAGAGAGAGACCCAGAAAATCAAACATGATATGTATTCACTTATAAATGAATATTAGTTGTTAAATAAGGATAATCACATTATAGTCCATAGATGCAGAGAAGTTGGATAAAGAGGAGAGGTCCAGGAGGACATGGATCTCCCTGAGAAGGAAAAATAAGAGATTTTGTGGTTGTATTGGGCTCAGGTGGGGATGGGAACAGGGGGCCCCAGGTCAGAGAAGCGGGGGTAGAGGGATAGAGTATGTAGAGAGACAATTGGAATAGGTGAAAGGGACAATGTTGGAGATATATTGAACTGGAAACTTTCTGAGAATGGTTGATATGGATCCTGAATTGTCCATTTTCTGAAACCATGCAAGGCTCCCAGTGGTTTAGATGGGGACATCAATCCAGCCAGAAAACCTACAGCTCATAACCTGTCCTACCTGTGTTATACTCTGGGACAATGTTGGCTCAGAGACTGTGAGCATGGCAAAGCAATGACTAGTCTAACTTGAGACCCAAGCCACAATTGGGAGCCCATGCCCAACACTGCATGGATGCCCTAGGTCTGGAAGCTGGGTGGCACAGAGACCTAGGATAGATCCAAAATATCTAAATGGGTGGTCTTGTTTAAGATGATTTTTTTCTAGTTCCACCCATTTGCCTACAAGTTTCATGATGCCATTTTTTTTTAATGCTACAGTAATACTCTATTGCATAAATGTACCACATTCTTTTTATCCATTCTTTAGTTTAAGGAAATCTAGGTTGTTTCCAGTTTCTGGCTACTATGAAAAAAGCTTCTACAAGCATAGTGAAGCAAGTGTCCTTGTAGTAGAATTTATATGCACAAGAGTGGTACTGCTGGATCTTGAAGTAGATGAGTCCCAATTTTTTGTTGTCTCTTATTTTGTGCAGTCAGCAAACCATATACTGACTTAACAACTTCCTCATAGAAGTTTTCACTTCCTGTTTGCCATATGTATAGGCCACAAGATCCATCAAAGGAAATATGAATCCTTTTAATTAATTAATCCAAGGTTATGCTCCAAAAACTCAAATGCAAACTGTAACAGTGAGTTTTTGAGGCTATAGGGCAAATGCAATTTAGGAACCACAATGTGGCTCATTTGCTTTTTGCCACCTGTAAAATGTCTTTCATTTTATTAAAAGGTACAATTGTTGGTTTTTCTCAGTTATTTAATCCTACGCATTCTAGTAGAGAAGTGACCTTCTCATCATGTATGCAGTAACAATGTGAATATGTAACTATTGTTTTCTTTATCTTCAGTTAAATACTTGCTAAATGATTGAAGACTTTTCAAAGAAAAATAGAAATTGAAAACTTGTACATAAGTCACAAATTCATGAGCTCATGTGAATTTCTCTAGAAAACACATTCCCTGGTGATATTTCCTAATGCGGCAGCATGATATTATAGGAAGGGGTGCTTAGCAGGCCCATGCTGAGACACTCCCCCCCCACTCTAAAAAGTACCAGCCATAGGATAGACTAGTATAAAATGAAGTTTATTTGGGGCATGTGAAAGGAGGGTGAGAAGAGAGTAGAGGGAGAGAAAGGAAGGGGACAGAGGACAGAAAGAGAGAGGAGAGAGAAAGAAGGGAAGAACCCAGCCTGGAATACATGAAGAGAGAGGGAGAGGAGAGAGAGAGAGATGTAAGAGAGAGGGGGGATAGGGAGGAGAAGAAGGAGACAGCCAGGCAGGCAGGGAGGCCAGAGAAAGAGAGAGAAAGAGAAGCCAAACAGTCCTTTTATAGTAGCCACGCTGTTGCTAGGTAACTGTTGAGTGGAGCCTGGAAAAATGCTAACACCTGGGAAACTTTACCTGAAGTGACTGAATCACTAAATCAATCAGCTTGAGATAATAGGTTTGATGAAATATAAATTTGCTTCTTTTAGCTAATACACCTGAAGATTTATAATAAATATAATAGTTAAATGTTTGTCCAAGTAAAATCAGTATCCAAACCCAAAATATAGCATATTTACTCTTAGCAAGGTTTACAAGAAAAGACATAGAAAATCAGTTATTATTTTTAATATACGGGAATAAATCCTTTTACAGTGAAGCAGAAGGAAAAATATAAAACCTTTTGATTAAAATTATGGATTGTAGTTCTTTCTTTTCTTCTTTTATTTTTGTGATTTCTTTGGGATCTTTGTCTGGTTGTTTCTAAGGAAGGAGAAAAAGCAAGGACATAGAGTTGGCTGGGTGGGGTGGTCTGTTGGATACCATGATTAGAATACTGTATGGCAAATATTTCTACTAAAAAGAAAGATAGGGGAGGGTGCAGATAAATGAATATAAATGAAGTCCAAGGATGTTTATATGTAAAAATATTCATGTAAAAACTGTTATTTTGTTTACTAAATTAAATGTATGTAGAAATTGATGAGAAAGAAAAACAGTCATAAATAGATGAATGAATTTTTGGAGTCAACGAATCTAAAAATTTATAATTTCAGGTTTTATGAATAACTTCAGAAAGATTCACCAACATTAATCCAGCATAGAATGGGCTAGTGAGATGGCTCAATGGCTAAAATCATTTGCTGCTAAACCTCACCACTTGAGATGGATCCCAAAGACCCACCTGGTAGAACTCTAGATAGTTGTTCTCTGACCTCATACACACACAAAAATAATAAAATAAATAAACTAAATACAATATATTATAAACATTTTAAAGAAGAACGTCACAGATGATGACTATAACTCTGTGAATCAATAACATAGTTAAATAAGTAAATTTTGAAAATCTAATAATGACTTAAAGTGAATTTATCTGATGATTTATGGTTTGAGACAGAGTCTGACAATGTAGTACCACTGGCTTCAAACTAGCTGAGATTCTTCTGACTCAGCCATTCTCTCTCTCTCTCTCTCTCTCTCTCTCTCTCTCTCTCTCTGTCTGTCTTTCTCACTCTCTAGTGTTCCAAAATATTACAGGAATATTTCACAAGCATCATTTGAAAAGGCTCTTGTTTTGTGTTTAATCTCATTGGCAATTTCTCCATGACTTTGAACAATTATAACCTTCTTGACAAAGAACAAAGAATTGAGGTGTTAAATAAAGGATATGTTTTCATATGTATTTCTAAAGCCCAACAATACTGCGAATATATTTCTCATGCCACAGTCTTAGATATTTAAATTTTTATTTTGTTTCATTGTAGCCTTTGTAACACTAGAGATTAATCTAGGGTATTATGTATGTCAGGAAACCTGTCTACTAATTGAGCTGCATATCTGACTCTGGGATATTCAAAGCTGTTTTAACTGACATATAATATGATATAATATAATGTAATATAATATAATTGTACAGGGCACAAAAAGTACACACATACACACACACACACACATATTCTGTAGTTTAAATCAGAATAAACATATCTAAACTTTTATTTATTACTTTCACTTGGAATCACATTGAAGATCTTCCTCCTAGCTTTTAGAAATATATCGCATTTTAATTTATTGTTTTCTAATTGCATACTAGCACAAGGAAACTTTATTTTCATAGGTAATTGAAACTTAATACCTCTTACTCAAACTTCACCTTATGTCTATATCCCTGCTTTCCTAGATGTGGTTACGCCACTCTAGTCTCAGCTTCCACATCATAAAACTTTTCAGATTTCACATGTTACTTAGATCATGCCTTGTGTGTCTGTGTTAGTCTGTGTTATCTTTCTTAACAATGACTTCAGTCCTACTGATGCTGGAACAAATGATATATTGTATTATTTGTAAGAGTAAATTTATGAATATATGTACATAAACACACACACACACACACACATATATATACATATATATATATGTATATATATATATACATATATATATATATATATATCACATTTTCTTCTACCACCTATGTCTATGTGGTTTTCTTGTTCTTGCTATTTTAAGAAGTACTACAAAAAGGATGAGACAACAGTTAACTGGGGCATCCAAATTTCATTTCCAATGAATGTGTGCTTGTTAGTAAGTTTTCTGGATGACATAGCAAGTTCTTTTCTGTAGTTTTAAAGAAAGTTCTCTACTCTTCTATATAGTGGTGGTATAAATGTCTATTTCCCCCTGGGAAATACATATATATATATATGTATTTTTAGTTTTTCGAGACAGGGTTTCTCTGTGTCATCCTGGCTGTCCTGGAACTCACTCTGCAGACCTGGCTGGCCACGAACTCAGAAATCTGCCTGCCTCTGCCTCCCAAGTGCTGGGATTAAAGCTGTGCACCACCACTGCCCGACTAGTATTATATTTTTAATAACTGTTGCTTATACTAGAATGAACTATCTGTGAGTGAAAGAACTCTGGAATTAGATTTATAAAATATGAATGAAAAACTTTATGGTCCATGAGCTGGCAATATTTCTTATCAAGTGAAGGCACATACTATCCAGCCTGGTAATCTGGGACTGATTCCTAGATTTCACACATTAGACAAAAGGAACGATATCCTTAGTTCATGAATTGGAAGGATCATTATTGCTAAGATGTCTGCATTGTTGAAAATTCTTTTGAGATTCAAAATAATTCCTAGCAAAATACCAATGTAATTATTCAAATAACAGAAAAATCTCATCTTGCTATTGCATAATTACTATGACAATATAATAGAAATAAAAGTGAAATTTTAAGAAAATAAACTGTTTTATGATATACTCTAGTAAATATTACAATCCATTTTCTTCTGCAAAACTAAGTCTTCATTGTGTTCAAGGGGGAAAAACACATAGCAGGTTACGTTCCATTTAATTTTATTTTATTAATCATATATATTTTTATTCAGAATTTTCAGTATTTGTCTTAAATGAAATAGACAATACTGGATAATCTTTATATATTTTAATTGTATCATTTTAAGATTTCAATAATTAAAGCTATCTAAAAATGATCTAAAATCTTTAGGTTACATTCTGCTGCTTCTATATATCTTAACTATATTTTAACTATTCTGTTACATTTATGTTTTTCAGTTGTGCCCAAATCTTCAAATCTTTGAGTTCCTGTGCTTTTTATGATGCTTGTTTCATAATTGTTATTTGTTTCTCCTAAATGCTCTTGATTTCATTTAAATTCCTCTCAAGAATCTTACTCCAAAGCTAAGGTCTAAAAATAGCAGAGCACTGATTTTAGTGAATTTTTTCTAGTTCGAAAGTTTGGCTTGGCTTCATTCACTTGAATATAACCCTGGAAGACATAGAATTGTACCTGTCTCATCCACGTGATTAGAATACAATCAGAAAACTGGAAGTAGATAACACAGTGTCTGCTAAAGAACTGATTCAATGCATGAGTAATTACATAGTTTAATTAATTTAAACTATTCTCTCTCTCTGTTTTTTCTTTCTTTTATCCACTCAGCAAATCACATACTGACTTAACAACTTCTTCATAGAAGTTTTCACTTCCTGGTTGCGAAGTGTATAGATCACAGGATTCATCAAAGGAAAGATGACCGTGTGGAAAAGAGAAACAACTTTGTCAGCTTGGAGCACTTTGAAGGGGCGGGTATAGATAAAAATGGCAGGCCCAAACATGAGAAACACAATTATAATGTGAGTGGTGCATGTAGAGATGGCTTTGTTCTTCCCTTCAGAAGAATGTCCTTTTACGTGGTAGAGAATGACAGCATAGGAGGCCAGAAGTCCCAAGAAGCATAAGAGGGTAAGTAGACCACTGTTGGAAACCATCAGGAGCTCCACAGCAAAGGTATCAGTGCAGGCTAGCTTTACAACCTGTGGAATATCACAGAAAAAGTTATCCAGCTGGTTTGGCCCACAAAAGGGCAAGTTCAGGATAAGAGCCACTTGTACAATGGAATGAGAAAAGCCCCCAAGCCACAGTGCCAGCAATAATGCATAGCAGACTCTAGGGTTCATGAGAGTGGAATAGTATAAAGGACGGCATATAGCGATATAACGATCAAAGGCCATCACAACAAGTAGAAACATTTCTCCTGCTCCAAGAAAGTGCAGAAAGAATAGCTGAGTGATGCAGGCTTTGTAAGAAATGATTTTTTTCTCACAGAAGAAATCCACAAGCATCCTAGGAGCTACAATGAAAGAGTAGGAGGCATCTAGGAATGCCAAGTTTCCCAGAAAGAAGTAAAGTGGGGCTGTGAGTCCAGGGTCTGATCTAATGGTGAAAATGATAAGAACATTTCCAGGAAGAATTATTAGGTAGAAAACTGAAAGCAGTGCGAAGACCAGGAGTTGAGTATCTTGAGACTGGGTCAGGCCAAGTAGGATGAATTCTGTTACTACTGAACTGTTCTTGGTCTCCATCACTTCCTAATCCATAGAATAAAACATGATATGTATTATATGTGCTTTTATTTTTGTTTCACAACTCAAATCACAAGAAAGCAGTGTTTGCCATAACCAGTGCATAATAGTTTAAACCACCTCTACTTACCCAATTGTACTAATCCTCACTAAGATACTGTTATTTAACTTTTAAAAAATGTATTTATTTCATGTATAAGTACACTGTAGCTGTTTTCAGACACACCAGAAGAGGGCATCCCATTAAAGATGGTTGTGAACCACCATGTAGTTGCTGGGAATTGAACTCAGGACCTCTGGAAGAGCACTCAGTGCTTTTAACTGATTTATCTCCCCAGCCAGATTCTGTTCTTTTATAGATACTTCCATTCTCACTTAACTTCTTGCTTCTGCATACCTGTAATTTTAGGACTATGCACTAAATTACACAGCTACATCAACCAGACTTCTGTTATTTTACTTTTTCTGTTAGTCGTGACTCAATTGTTTGCTAGAATATTTGCTTAGGGTTTTTTTGTTTGTTTGTTTTGTTTTTGTTGTTTTTTGTTTTGTTTTTGTTTTTTGCTTTCTTTGTATAATCACAGAGAGAAAACCACATTTGAAATAGTTTCTCTACTTCACTTCCTATGGCATGCATCTTTTCTGGCTCTTACCTCCTTTCTGAAATTTTAAATCATTGGTTTCCATGATGTTGTTTTGTTGCCTGTTGAAGGTCAGCTTCAACACTACAGGTTAACTGAGGAGGGGAGAGTGTGGCTTTGGTGATTGGGGTTAGTGCTAATAGCAGCAGATGGGGGTCAGCACTAGTAGAGCTGACAGGGGTGGGGGGAGACTCTCTCTCTCTCTGTCTCTCTCTCTGTCTCTCTGTCTCTGTCTCTCTCTCTCATACACACACACACACACACATATACACACGTGTGCACACACACACACACTGAGCAGATGATACAAGACAAGCTCCAATGGACAGGTTTCAACAAGTGAGCTCCTTCAACTTCACACATACATGCATACATACATACATACATACATACTTACATGCTTACATATTTACATATATACATATGTACAGACAGATAGACATATACATTCATATGCTGTGTGGATGGAGCAAACCTCAAGCCTGTTTTCATACATAGATTTACACACAGTTTTGGTGGATGGAGCAAACTCCAATGAGTTGACTTCAATCACTTTACTTACACATACATACATGTTTAGTGGACTCAGCAAAGCTTCAAAAAGCAGACTCCAACCATTTTACATACATACATATACACATACGTATATATTGAGGTGGATGGAGCAAACTCTAATGAGTAGGCTCCAGCAACTTTATTTTTTTATTCCATAGCTTTTATATCCCAGAAAAATCTTTTGAGAAGTACAGCATTATAATGTGATTTCCATTCTAGTTTTCTTTTAGAGAATTACTATGAAAAAAAAAGTATGTTTCCAAATACTTTTACATGAAAAAAATTACATAATGCAGGTAAAGAAAGCAAATAATTCCCAAGAGCCCATGTATATTTGTAACTAAGCAACTTGTTATAGACGAACAGAGTATGAACAATCAAGGTAATTTTCTCAACCAGTTTATCTTACTGGCAGACAGCAACTTGCTGATCAATTATTTTATTATTCATCATTAAAGGAAACATGAAAGTCTTAAAAGATCACAATCTAAAATTTATACAGAAGCAATCAGTAATTTCTATTTTAAATCCTCAGACTGAACATCTACTCATCAGCAAATTTTCTTAAATCACATCAGGAAGCTGGAGGGAAATGTGTACAAGAAATTCATTTATTACCATGACCACTAGCCCAGCTTCAGCAAAAGCTTCATGTCAGCCAGTACTGTAATTCTTCTTGTTCCCTGACCTTAATAAAAAAAAAAAAATCCCTAGCTTACTATTAAGACTATGCCTTGCTATACTTCAAATTGCTACTAAGATTTTTCTACATCAGAACCACTCACAAAACCATCTAACCCATTTTGCCTAACAATTTATGTTTCCAAATGCCTTCTAAGGATGGTGGTCATTGGTGACAATCTACATTTCTAAGTTCTTTATTAGGGTGGTGTTTGAATCATTAATCTGCTCCATCAGTAATGCCTAAAAAAGATCAGGCACTGTAACTGTGAGTGCCAGAAATACTGCCCAGGGAAGGCTGGGAACCCCTTTAGAGTTTTCATACAACTTTTAGTTTATTGGGGGTGTGAAGCAACAAGCAGAGCAAAACTCCACAACAGCATGAGGTTCTCAGGACACTTAGTCCTCAGAGATGTGCCTCTTTGAGGGACATCCATCTTGGTTGTACTAATGGGTGAACCACATTCAATGAGTTCCAAAACTGTTTGTTGTTTCTCATCAATGGCCTTTAACAGTTCCCCATGTATATTCTGACTTCTAAGCATGTTGTCTGGATCTCAAATAAAATCAATGCCTTCACTTCACTTACAGGTGTCCTCCAAATTATGTTTCTGACTAATCAAATCTACATGTACATTCTGTGCCTAAATTCTTGTCATTACCTTTCAGTAGGATTAGCTTTTGATTTATTGATAATATACTTATTTATATATCTAAGAATGGTACCAAAATGATATCTTTCCCACAATTTACTCGGCATATTGCACCTCTCATCAGTATGTGTAAAATTTTGATGATCTCAACTAATTAAACAAAGCAGGAAATAGATATGAAGAAGATATATTCTAATGTGATCCTTTAATAGTTTAGAAAATGGAAAAATTAGTCATTTTAAATATGTAATGAGTTAACTTGTTATCATTGCCAAGTGATAGGGGAAATGTGTATCTATTGTTTAAAGATTAGAAAATTATTAATTTTTGAGATTTCATTTAGTCACAACAAATTATGACACTGTTTATCAAAACATTCTTCTTCTGTGTCTGTAAATTTTGCATTAGTAAGTTATATTTATGTTACAAAAATCTATGATTCATTTTTTATCTGAATACTATTTTTTCAGAGTGTAGCTAGTCTAGAAATGTGCACTTGAAGATTCATTTGGGCACATAAAATAAAGGAACTTCTCTATATATACTTAAAAAATCTTATATTGTGCCATAATTTTCTGATACCATAATTCTAAAAAAAATTTTGACAAGTCATATTTTGTGAGCCTGTACATGCTCCATTGTTAAAATCTATGCCTTAAAATACAAACTAATATTTATTAGAACAAATCACCATAATGTGGCATACAAAATCACATCCTTGAATGTGGGCTAAAAACAATATTATGCTACAATTTCAGATGCAAGCAAATTGGAAATAAAAATAAGCAATGAATTACTGGAGGATGTTAAAATATAAATCATCTAAAATAGCATATGTTTGAGGGGAGATAGTCACAAATACAATTCATGTAAACTTTCCATAATGAAACACCTACAAAGGCAGAAATTTGATAAGGAGTTGGTTAGGTTGTAAACTGAAATGGAGGTTTACAATGTACATGAGAGTTTTAATATGATGAAAGTAATTTAGCAATGTGAACATTTCTTAAATATATTTATGATCAACAAATAATACACTTAAATTGTGAATCCTTATTAAATGCTGGTTATATCAATATGTTTAATGTTGCTACTTAATTTCAAGCGATAATTTCAAAGAGAATAGATTTTTGTTAAAAATTTGGCAGAAATTATTAATAATCTTTCTATGTAAATAGAGAGAGGAAGAAAGAAAAATAAAAAGTCAACTTAAAAAGTCCCTAAAGAGAATTCCAGAGAAATTTTGGCACCATTATGTATTATTACACATTTATATCTAAACTAATAGATGATTAGTAATGTGTGTATTTATAGCATCCAGATGCTATGGCACAAGTTTGTAAATGCATGGGCACATACTTAGACACACCAATACATATGGAGAAGTATATAGTCACATAAATTGTAAGTGCAAACAAACTGAATGAGGAATAATATTTTCTGTGATTCTCTTTAAACTCATAGAAGAGCTTCTTTGTCAATTATGTGTCTGTACATCTGCTGACCATCATATGTATGCCACACTGCAAGTGAAAATCTCTCCAAAAAATAAGCTCAGAGCCCTCTTTCCTAATGATACAATGTGAAATTACAACACTGATACACAGTTAGTCTTCTGACTCTTCTCAACATTTATAATTGGAAGACCTAAGCATTAGTGAGAGGAGCTCCCTGTTGCCTATCATATGGAAATCTGTGTTATTCAACGTCTTTAGCCAACCTCTCTCTTCCTTTGTTCCCATTTGTTTCAGTGTTGGTTTCAGTGATTCTCAAATTGTGCTGTTCCCTGTAATTGAAAATAGGGGTGGGACAAATGGGTGTTTTTCTGTACAAAATATGTTCTAAGGAGAGTGGTCTGAAACAGTGTCCTGCAGGCAAATGAGTGTTTTATTCCAGTTAACTGAGATGATAAATGACTGTTACTGTAGGCTAAGATGGAAGCCTCAATTCTTTGCAGTTTCAAAATTTGTTCCTTTCAACTGATTAAACAACAACAAATGCATTTGGCATTGAAAACACATATGCAGAAGATACGACATTCTCCCCTTATTCTCAGAGTTCATTCACATAGGCACTGTCAGGCAACGCAGCTTGCAATCATTCCCAAAGCTATTGATTCAGAAACAAGCTTTCTATGCTAGCTGTTCACTTTCTCTCCTTCATCTCCTTCTCTATCATCTTTATTTTCCCACAATCCTTCCTTTTTTTACTTGATTCCTGACGTCTCTGATTTTAATTCTTGTACTCTTTTACATGTGTTTTTACTTGATTCCTGAAGTCTCTGATTTTAATTCTTGTACTCTTTTACACGTGTTTTTGGTTTCATTGTTTACCTTTATTTTTCTTGCAATGAATCCCTCTAAGTTTTCTGTTCCTTTGCTATTTTCTCTGTGCCTCCCACTTCCCCATACTCTTTGAGTTAGTAGTTTCTGCTTTGTTCTCTACACTTACCAGCTAGTTCAAAGAATCATGAGTTATAAAAGAGGTGGCCAATGTGACAAAGAGCAAAGAAAGTTTGGGAAAAGGAAAGTGAAAGTGAAATGATGTAGTTATATTTTACTGTCAAAAATAAATTAATTAATTAAAATTGTACACACATACACACACAATCTTCCTCTGAGTATAAGGTCTGGATCACTTTACCAATTGCAATGAATGGTGAGCACAGTAAAGACTTTCCAAGTGTCTAATTTGTTGGGTTTATTAATAATTGGAAATGTTTCTCTCACTTTTCAATGCTGAAACTTTACTTCCAAATTTTCTCTTTTGAAATATCTTCATCTAAATTACTCATGAATCACTTGCCATTCTCTTCCATGGTTCTTCTCTTTCTAACTCATCTTGGAACAAATGATTTTCTTTTTTTCTCAAAATACAGCTCTAGTTATTATTTTTGCTAAATAACATGTTATATCTGTAATTTAGTCACTATACAATTTTAGAATAGAAATGGATTTTTAAAAAAGTATGCAGTTGCTTCTAAGGAGGAGAATAAATTTATCTGCTTTTCTCAAAAGTAGAGAGTATTAAACTAAAATAACTTGATTAGCAGTCAGTATCTAAACTGACCTAAGGAAGAACTCAGTGAGTAGGTAAGTTATGCTACAGTGTAATAAGTAGATATATTGGTGGAGTGTCTGATAGCCCTTGTGTTGCCCTCAGGGTCTCACACAGATTTATGAAAAAATGTAATCATTTAACTAAATTACTCTTTCTGAATTTCAATATTCAACATTTGATTCTTGTATTGTTCTATGCTAGGATCACTGTTCAAAACAAGAAACAATTTATATAAGCAGGGGTACAAGGTGGTTTGCACACTCAGTGTCAGTGAAGTGTGTTGTAAGACTAAGCTTACTTATATTTTCTGATATAAAGTGATGCCAACCTCTTTATTTATTTTACTTTAGTTCAATATTGTGTAAGATCCATAATTTATATTAGATTCAAATTGAAATTAAGCATGGATATATCAAAGATACTCTTATTTCCACTTGTTTCAATAAAATATTAGCTTCTTTAACTGTGAGCATCAGATGTTGCAGGCACATTATTTAGTGAGAGGGTAAGAAATAGGACACAGCTGAATTTACTGCTCAGTCATACTCTGTTTCAACAGCATTGATCTACTCTCGTGAATTTCATTGCAAAAGTGAAATTCTCAGAAAAAATATAATTGCTTTCCTATTCCTTATTTATATATATTTTATAAATATAAATATAAGAAAATTTCACCTTAGTAGCAGTCCAATATTTTCAAACAAGTAGCTATCCTTTTCCGTTCGTGAGAAAAAATAATTGATCATGTAAAAGTTTTCTTTAAATATGTTTTCTCATATTGGTGAATTTTTAGATTGTGAAATCTCCTCAGATTTGAGATGCAAAAGAAAACATGCTTGGGGACCTTATTAGCACTTGTTTAATACAAAAGGGAATTAACTGAACAACAACTCAAACAGGTACAACAATCACAAGCACATATACAGTAAAGGAAGGTGGCATCTTAGGTATCACTGATCATAACATGGTTTTAAGTTTTCCCGTTATCAAAGTCAACTATAATTGTATAACACTCAAGTTTACAAGGGAAAAGAAACAAAATATCCACATGCATAAAATTTTTCATTCATGTTTACAAAGAAGTTAATTACTAAGCTTCAGTCAATAATAAGTATACTGGAATATGCACATATTAGGTAACAAGACAAAGAATGTATTGTGTCCCATGTATCAATTTTTTAAGAAATAATGTTCTTCACGATGGTGATTACAGTCCAGTTCCTCTTGGAATGTCATCTTATACAAAAGAATAAATTATTTATTTTAGAATTTGTATTAACTCATGTTAATTTTTTTTAATATATTTCAAATAACTTTGAGATGTATGATTCATCTGGTTCTCTTTCTCGATTAAAGATTACTGGATTTTTTGTTTTGTTTTACTTGATTTCAGTATTTTGTTGTTGTTGTTGTTGTTGTCTTATTGGTTCTTTGTGATTTGGGGGATTTTTTTGGTTTTAAAGCTTTTGATTCTTGTCCCTTGGGGGTGTGTGGTATGTGTGTATGTGTGTGTATCTGTGTGTATGTCTATGTGTGTGTGTGTGTGTGTGTGTGAGAGAGAGAGAGAGAGAGAGAGAGAGAGAGAGAGAGAGAGAGAGAG